CCCCAAAACCCCAAAACCCCAAAACCCCAAAACCCCAATCAAATGTACTAATCAATGAAATTGGCATAATATTATTATTTTAATAATGGACAGGTAATCGTATATTGAATAGCAATTCGAAAACTTTCCTTTTAAATTATTAGGAGAACTAATCAATGGATGGGAAAATGCCTAAAGTTTTGGGGATGTAGAGATGAAACTACCAGGTGGATTCAGTGGCACAACCTATGTTGTTACCAATCCATAAAGAGCTCTGGATGAGCATAACCCAGTTATTGTAAAGCTTTATAGCAATGAAACAAGAAGTGGCATCCCAAAAGAGATTGATATTGTGAAGATTCTATCTGATATCAAGTGGGGACCACATGTCTACTATGTTTGCGATACATTTAGAATCGAATAGTTTTAAGATGCCAGAAATATGAATATTTGGGAAATGAGAAACCCTCATTATGTGGAGTAAATTATTATGAAGCTTATGGACTTCGACCATCATCCTGAAATGATTCAAAAAGTTCAAAGCTACTTCGATGGAAAAAGATTGAGCACATTAGACATTTTGAAGTACGAAAAGTATCCAAAGTTTATTGAAAAGATACCTAGTATAATCGAAAAGATAGATGCTGATATCTATAAAGATTACAAAGACATAATAATGGATATGTAGAAAGAATGGGTAGATACAAATTTAGTAGAATTAATTGACTAGCTTTTTCCTGAGAAATACACAGATGATGATCTTGTGCTCTCTCACAATGACTGCCAGCAAGGCAATATTTTAGTCTATAGGAAAGATCAGGCAAAAATTGTGATTATAGACTATGAGGATACCAGCTTTGGTCCAAAATTCCTAGATATTTCTAGTTTCTTAGGTTGCTTTATGAAGGATAATGAGCATCCTGAGCCACCCTATATCAAGATTTACTATGAAAATACTATCAGTGAATGGGAACTTAGATACTACACTGAATTCTACTTAAAGAGATATCACTAACTGTATTACAAGGGAGACAAGTCACTGGATGAGTACTTGATTTAAGAGAGTTAGAAGTTTTATGAGGATTTGATTTGTGGTATCATATTTTTCAATATTTATTTTGGAGTGTGGGGAATAACCTATTTAAGAGAAGAATTCACTTTAAATCACTCAAGTTTCTTCACACTAGCTAAAAATAGAATTTTGATGAATAGGTACTTTATGAATCAAGAATTTGTTAAAAAGGTTTTGGATACCAGGTTGATTAAAAAGTAAATCATATGATTACTAGCAGAATAATCATTAAATTTCAACATAATATTTTCTTAAAATAGACTCTAATGGGGTTTTGGGGTTTTGGGG